ATGACTACATTACTGTTGATTGGCATACCTTGAAATAGACAGGAGACTTGGCAGAACTTGTGTGAAAACAGAGCTTCTCGGTTTGGAATCTTGACTTCCATGCTATAATTGCTTTCAGGCAACTCCAAATACCAGATGAAAATGTTTTCAGGAACCAATCATACTATATAGCCAATGGAAGCTTTTACAGTGAGAATAATGAGGCTAGAAAATCCTAATGTCCTTGTTTATCTTGCAGAGAAAGTCCATACTCATAGAGGCAATTACCAGCTTCACCATTTTTATACACTCAGCTCCACTGATGGTCACCACTTCCAGACCCAATTCTAGCCAGTTGCTACCGTGGCTGATAGTTTCTGCATCTAAATGAAACCAGCATTTCAAAAGTAAGCCGAACAATGCACGGAAGTAATGTTCTTCTCTACTTTTTGTCATTCAAATGTAATTATTACTTTCTGTTCTTATGAAAAAATGTTTATAAAAATTACTTTGAGGAAAAGCTCAATGTTTTCACAGGATGTGATTTATAAAAAAAACAAATTGAGAAGACTAACTGAAGCAGATTACTATATTCTGCTGTCTATTACCCCTGACCTCCGAAGAAAATTTCGCTACCACCAATAGTTTCCAGTTATTTAGGAATCTGCCAGGAAACGAACTGATTTGCACTGCTATCAAACTAGTAGGATTGGAATGGACTGAGGTTCCCCTCCCACTGGCACCTTTGGTTTAAAGGCCTCTTCACCAGTTTGGCAAGCCCTATGGCTGAAAATGCTCTTCCCCTCCTCTGACAGATGGACCCATCAGCCCACAGCAGACCAGGTTCTTGAAAGCTTGCTCATTTCCCATTTCCACCAGTGTAACTCCTATAGCAACAGCAAAGAAATCAGCAAACACCAAGAAAGCTTTTGTATTTCTTTTGTATGTGGCAAGGATCCAGTTTGCTGCTGAAGGTAGGAGGTAGAACTAAGAGCAAGCTCTTCTCTTGCAACTCTTATTTTATGGCACCAGAGTGCTTTGCAAACACTGTTAAAATCAGGCTGACAAGACTTCTGTCAAATGCTACATATTTTATATGACACATAAGAAGACTAATGAAGAGATCTATTACCCAGAGATAGACAAAAAAACCTAAAACAAAATTGGAAACAGAAAGTAAGTTTTTCACCAACAGATCACATATGACTTAGAAGAGGATGCTTTGTACTGGGCCTTACTGGAAAGGGTTTTGTGGCAGGGGGCTAGCAGGGTGGGTTATGGTGGCAGGAGGTCATGTACTGTCCTGTGCCAGCCAGCTACTGGCATCTGCCCCTAACACCACTGCAATAAACCCACCGTGCGCCAAAATTTCTGCTAGAGAAGCAGATGGTGCCTCTGCTCACAGATATTTAAGAAACCAGCAGATGTTAAGCAGAGAAGACAAATGGTGGCACTGTTGGGATGTGGTTGAAGACATATTTTTGGAAGGAAGGGCCGTGTGCCAGAGCAAACACAGCCCTAAAGGGACTGTGGGTGATGGGTGCACACCAGAACAGAGACACTGTGGAGAGACTGTGTCCCACAGCAAACCCACGCTGTGGTGGAGGAGCACAAGTAAGAATCAAGAAGCAACGGACACCTCCCCGGTGTCCTGCATTGTCCCTTGCCTCCCAGAAGGGATTAGGAGTATCTGAATGTAACCTAGCAAACTCAAGGTGAGTGGAGACCTGCAAGCAGGGAGATGTTTGATACAGAATTAGAGCCCATGGAAGAAAGGTGTTTCTTTGCCAACCATTTTGTTTAATTTCCTTTTTTCTCCTCAATACACAGATCAGTAATCAAAAGTTTTGTTAACTGGCAATAAATTAAATAAATTCCATTAACCAAGATTGTTTTGCTCATGATGTGCTTATAAAGTAATATGGTATATTTCTTAAGTCCTACATACTGTAGAATACATTGTCAGATGTATTCTACAGGATTACAGGAAGGAAGTAGAGGGGCAATATTTGCCATAGCTGTTCTAATGTTTGAGGAACAAATTCATGTGCTGAGGCATCTGCATAAAGATTCTCATTAAAAAGGATATTTTGATGCTGTGTTTGAATTTTGACAAGCTGTCACCTACAAAGGGTGAGGGTGGGATGTAGGTAATAGGCACCCCCATGCCTGTGGTGTTTTGGCCATTGGAAGAGGCTCAGAAGTGAATTAAGGTGAATTACTGACAGTGGGAAATAAAGCTGGCCACACAGGGAAGCAGCATAGACAAATAGCACGTCTTAAAGCTAAGTATGCTTCCCCATAGCCTCCCCACGGAGGCACACTTTGAAGGTCTTCTGAGAGCTCTCATGGTGCTGCCTTTTCTGTCTGTTGGCTGCAAAGAAGAAATCAAACACTTTCAGATGTCTTCTTTTCCCCTAAATTAACCAATTGGACATGTGTTTTTTCCTCAGGGTGCCCTGTGGGGCAGTGACTATGTCAGTTTCCTCTTTTGTCCCCATACAAACCAACTCTATGAAAGACTCAAGAATCTGTCAAATTAACCTGATGATGGGTATGGGAAAATGACATATAGTATTTTAAACTATAACCACCTCTTTGACAGCAGAAAGGACAAGTTATGCAACTCCCAGATGGGAGGGAGAACCCTGTTGGAATTATTTCTTCATTTGATTTTATAACTGCTGCACTGGGTTGCAAAAGTCTGATAAAATCTATTTTAAACATAGAGCATAAGTCCTGCAGACTAATATTATGGCTCATCTACTGCCAACTTCCGCAATTATTCTCCCTTCTTAAAGTTATGTTGATAAATCAGTTGTCTTCCCATTTATTAAAGTATATGGCAGTCTGTTTATTTAATCATCTCTTGGCCCATTTTCTAATTAAGGGAGATAATGCAGGCTCATTTCCTACCATGGTAAACCTGGCAGTCCACAGGTTGTCCTCAGCTACCACATTAAAATTCAAGACTATTTGTAATGCCTGCATTGTTTAACACTTCCCTCCCTTCTCCTTGCTCAGCTGAAGAGAAAAATGCAGGCATGGGGTTTCTATTTTTGCATTTCCACACTGCTGACACCCACCCATGTCAAGGACAGGAAGAGTGAAGAAGATGAAACATTTATCTGGGAGATGGTGAATCCCAGCAAAGTTAATAATCATACAATGATCCCAAGGTTAATTTTGTGAAGGGAGGAATACAAAAGGAAAGCATACACCAATTGGAGCACATTCCCATCTTGCTCTGCTGCTGGGCTTGAGTAACCTGCTGCACCACTCAGTCCCCATGTGTCAACTTTGTGCAGGGGTATTGATGCCCACTAACTGCAGCAATAAACCATTTTTGTCCACTCTGTATTCTAAAGCTCTTGTAATAGACTTAAGATCACCTCAATTCCTATCTCTGAGATATTCTGATTTGTATCTTGCATTTGATTCAGCTTCTGTATTTAATAGCTACAGGCTAAGCTAGCATCACTAGTCTGGCAGGAGAACACTCTTTACCAGGTTTGCCTTCTACCCCTTAGGACATATTTATATAGAACACTAAATTCTTCTATGCAGAAAAAAAAAAACATTTCAGCTTCTCAATACATGCCAAAGAAGCGTCTTTCAGGGGGGCTTGTAATGTGTTGAAAAAAAAGATGATACATTGTGTCTTACTTCACAGCCTCTCCTCCAATCAGTAAGTATATACAAGAACCACACCTGCAACAGCTCCAATTCCTGCAGAAATGCAGGCAATCATCACTTTGCCACACTTTCAGAATTGTTTCATATCAACTGTGCTACACATGGCCTTGAAATGTGCCTATATATGAAACATGTAAAAGATGATGTGGTGCTAGGTACCCTTTCTAGGTGACACATGGATTTGGACTACGTGATATCCACAGGTGCCAGCCAATACCTCAGCTGTCCTGTGATTATGCATGGGGAAAAAAAAAAAAAAAAAAGAAAACCAAAAAAAAAAAAAAAAACAACAAAAAAGCCAAAAATTTGATTTAAAAGGGGGAAAAAAAAAAAAAAAAAAATGAAAACCAAAAATACAAAACAACAACAACAACAAACCCCCCCCCCAAAAAAACAAACAAACAAACAAAAAAACGACAAACCAAAAAACCCACAAACACACGCAAAAAAAAAAAAAAAAAAAAAAAAACAAAAACCAAAACAAACAACAAACCAGTGATTCCAGCACTTCCTAATAGGCTGTATGATACAGCATAGTCCAAGCTCTGACAATGGGGAAATGTCTCCCTGATCCCTTTTAAAGTTGGCTAAACACCCACAGTGAGGATTTCAACTGCTTTCTGAATTGTTCCTTACTTTTCCTTCTCTGCTTATTTTTTTAAATTTGCATTTGCAAGCAACAGCAAAAACATTTCAATTTCTGGGCCCTTGCTTCTGGAAACAGTTTTAATTTTAATCTATTTCAGTCCACAAGGAAGTGTCTTGTTTTTTTACACTGCTAATTATCTGAACCTCTGTCTCACTTCATCTATCTCATTTAGATTCAGAGTGTGCTCTGGGTCTAACACACTCAATACCTTCACAAACACCTACTTAAGGACTTAAAAACCCTCACAATTCACCTTTACACAGATAATTGTTCCCTTTCCATGCATTTAAGTGACTGCTATGACTTACTGCCATGCTGTCACTGACCAGTGAAAACAGACAGAATAAAATTGTATACTAAATATATTGTACTGGAAGAAGCAGAAGACAAATGAACTTCTATTTTCAAAAGTCAAATATTTTCAAATGTTTACTTTGTGTTTTTCCATACAACATACATTGAACTTTTCTCTTTCTATGGGGCCTATTGAGGATTTCACAAATACTGCTGAAGAAGGAATGGGTCTATGCAGAGAGGCAGAGTTCATCCCTTTAAATTGTCTGTGTTGAATGAAAAACCTTATTCCTAAAGAAAACTCACTGCAACAAGGATGAGAAAGTCTTGGTGAAGGGAGAAGGAAAATTTCCTAGAGCTTTTGCCCAGACCCCACACTTACCAAAGGCTCTAGTTCTTTGCGGTCTATGAGGTTGAGCTCTGTCACAAAATAATAAAAATGCTTGTAACAGGTGTTGACATGGGCCTCAGCCCTCATAAGGATGATACGGTCGAAGTGATGGATGTAGACATGAACAAACACCCGAAAAAGACGACAGAGTATCTTCTTGCAGATCTGGAGAAAGTTCTTTGGAAAGGGAACACCTGTGAATAGAGAAGGCCAAATTGTCATAACCATCCTGTCATCCTCCCAAGACAAAAACTTTACAGCTAAGTGTGAGATTTTAACTGCAAATTAGGTTATGACTTCCTAGGCCTCCTTTCCAATCCAGAAGATCACTTTATGCATGCATTTATTTGACAGCTACCACCAAAGACAGCTAAATACTTAAACAACTTTAATGGGTCAAGACTGACAAGAACAAGTTATTTTTTTCCCCACAAGTAATTCAGTGAATCCATCCGGTATTGTAACATTCAGAAAGGTGCTTTTCACCGCAGTGCACACCAAACTATTAACATCAATGGATTTACATCATGCATAAGTGCTCCCCAAAGTGACACACACAGATACATACTTCTTAGAAGTAACACACTTCCTGCTCATGTTACTCAACAGTGTACTCATGTACTCAACATTTAACAGTATCAAATTTAATAACAAATTTGAAATAACTGACAGAAGGACCCTTTTGCTTTCAACTTCCTTCCAGTTACAGGTACCAATCTGATTGCTCCTTTAATAAAAAATCTCTGATTTACAGGAATGGCTCTTTCAAAACACCATTAAAGTTACACTACTTTGTACCTTGAAACTCCAAAACAGCTGCAAAAGCACCATTTGCTAATAAACTGTCAGGCATCAATAATGGGGCATAAATAATTTCTTCAGAACTGCTCTCCATTAAAGACTGATCTTGCATGGAGTTATGTGCCACTAAGCTGTCCCCAAAATCTTAGTTTCATCTCCTTTTATGATTGTCTCTCAGACATAATGACTTTAGTGTCATGCTTGGAACCTTACTGCTACTCTGCTTTGTTGCACAGTTTCCTGGTTTTCTAGTTATCAAATTCATGCTTTATTTGGATTTGAATCACATAAATGCAGCTATTGCTTCTTAAAAAATTAGAAAAACCCTCACAGCCAAGCATTTCCACACTGCCTAAAAGCCCAGTTCATGCTCTGAACAAGGAAAATATTTATTATAGGCAGAAAGAAGGTGGAGGTACTAAATTAATGCTTTTGCAAGCTTTCTAGTTTTCAAATTTTAGTCTCCTGTTAAATGTTGCTCAGCACTCGTAAGTGTGGTGAATTGACAGACAAATTGCCCAGTTTCACTGAGGGTGATGCGAGGACATACAGAGAGAATTTCCATAACAAAACCAGATTTTTGATTACAGCTGACATAAATTATCAACTGTGCTGCAACCAGTTTGCATCTGATCAACATAAACATGCACCTTACTTTGGAATCCCTGGCCAAGGAGGTACCAGGATATACCCACCGTGGATGTGAGCATTGGTGTGTCCATCAGTATGCGAGTAGGGAAACACATCAGCCTGTAGAAGTATCCCTGAACTGCTTCTACATTTGCCATTGCTGAGGTGCAGATAGTGCTGGGAAATGTCTTGGGGTTTTTTTGGCCTGTACTGGGTTCACCAGATATTTCAAAATCCTTTTGAAACAATTTTAAGTAGCTTGTAGACATGCAGTGCTGCTCTTCTTATTCCTAATGTACAAACCAAGGATCAGAAAAATAGCTGCATCTATCAAAGCACAGCTACTTTATCTTAAGAAATATTTGCTTTTTGTTGTCAAATCCATTCATTTAAATGCTAGAGCTACTATGGAAGGTTATGGAGGAGAAGGCTTGAATGCTCAAGACATGAACTGAGACATGGTTAAATTATAGAAATGACAGTATGTACAGATGTCTTGGCAATGCTTAAATCACAACTCCACACAATTAGCCAAGCACCTGGATTATAACAATTCTTGTTATTTCCAAGGGCAAAATAAACATAATCCATAAAAACATAATAGAAACTCCAAGTAGCTGCTCATTAATAAGGGTGATCACATTTACATTCCAGCCATCAGAGCATGGCTAAATTCAGGAATGATTATAGCAGCAACCTGCTCTACATTTCTGTAAAATATACCCATACCAGAAATTAAAAAAATATACCAAGAAAATGTCCAGTCTTAAAAAAGGGGGAAGAGGAATAACTGGCACTTTTCACTGCAAGCTGGTTTGCTGAACTGAGAGATGAATTCTTGAAAGCACTGTATTTTGTAATCTAGAACAAATATGTTCCAAAATGGAGAACAATTAGTTTCATCTTCCAAGGGCTGACAAAAAATTGTTACTGAAGAATGTTGCTGTAATGAAAACATTCATACTTCTGTATTAACTGACTAAAACAATCTGAATAAACCCAGGTGACAAATCCTTTAATTTCTCTTCACCGCATGTTCCCATTTCACAGTTATAGGCAGTAAGTGCAAAAGCCACAGAGCACTGTTTCTGCTCTAAGAGAGGACCTTCACTGGACAGTTTTTTAGATGCGTTACACAGTCAATTTGAGAACATATAAACAACACTTTTTAAAAAATGGCTGGTGTAGAACAGCCTAGGATTCATAATAAACTTGCAGTGTTTCCCCCTGCTCCTCACATGAATCAAGGTTTCAGACCAATTGCATAGTTTCACTTGCTGTTGCAGAATCTCTCCTATTTTGTGGAGTTGTATATGATTCATTTACTCTTAAATAAACAGTGAAAGATTGCTGCTATCACAAATATATCACTTGGGCACAGCAGAATTGGTAGAGGTTCTTTTGATTTCTTTCACATTCCAGCAAAACTGATTTACAAACTGACACAGTGTCCTAAAGAGTTAAAAAGCCACTCCTAGTATCACTGAAAGAAACTGATAACTTTTTGGTGAGCTACCTACACTCCTCAGTCTTGGAGAGCCTGTCAGTCTGTCTGTCTGTCCCCAGCACACAGAATAGACTCAAAATCTGGTCAGCCTCAAGGTACAAATGCACATATTGAGGTGCCTGCAGCCCTATTTTGAACATACACCCTGCTGCTCTTTGTGCTCAAAATTAGATAAAAGAGAACAGATTCTGACCTCAATTACAATAGAATGAACTCCAAGTAATGTCATCAAAATTGAAAAAATCAGAGCAAAATGATTCTAGATTTATATTCTGAGGTCAGAATTTGGCCTCATGTTTTGTTCCCATCGCAACTTTACAGTTATAAATAAATCAGCTACAGAAGAGAGTAATTAGAAGTGTCTCTTGGGACTGGATTAACTTATATTTAGATCATTTCATTTGTTAAGAAGCCTGTTCTCTGTCCTTCATCTCAACCACAACAGTCTTTGCCTTACAATCATCAAAGTTGGAAGAGCCCTACAAGATCATCCAGTCCAACTGTCCACCCAGAACTATGACTGTAGTCCCTAAACCACATCACCAGCACCAGACCCTGGTGCCTCTTGAACACTGCCAGGGATGACAACTCCACCACCTACCCTAGACAACCTATTCCAGTGCCTGACCACCTGGCAGTGAAAATTTTTTTCTAATTACTGATCTGAATCTCTCCTGTCTCAGCTTAAGGTAACGTCCTTTTGTCCTCTCACTGCAGGCACAGCAGGAGCAACCAATCCCCACCTCCAGTCAGCTGGAACTCCTCCAGTTAACCAGGAGTGCTGATAGATGATTGAAGGGGGTTTGGCAAGTTATTTTGCCACTTCCCTTATTACTGTGGGGTGGATCCCATCAAGCGCCATAGACTTGTGTCTAACTGGCATAACAGATCACTAACCACTTCTTCCTGGCTCATTAGGGCTTCACTCAGCTCCCTGTCCCTAACTTCCAGCTCTGGGGGCTGCATATCCTGAGGACACCTGATCTCAATATTAAAGACTGAGACAAAAAAAGGCATTAAGTACATCAGCCTTTTCTTCATCCTTTGTCACTACACTACCCTCTGTATTCAACAAGTGAAGGAGAATCTCCTTGACCCTCCTTTTGCTACCTATGTATTTATAGAAAGTTTTTTCATTGTCCTTAACTGAAGACCAAATCAAGCTCTAGCTGAGCTAGAACTTGGCCCTTCTAATCTTCTCCATCCATGACCTCACTGTATCCTGATATTCCTGTGAAGTCATCTCGTCCTCCTTCCAGAGACAACAGATTTCTTTTTTTCCCTAAGTTCCAGCTGAAGTTCTCTGTTTTACCAGGTCAGTCTTATTCCTGACAACTTGTCTTTCTACATGTGGGGACAGCCTGTTTCTGAATATTTAACAATTCCTTTCCGAAACACATCCATCCTTCCTGGACTCCTTTGCTCTTCAGGGCTGAGTCCCAACAGACCCTTGTCAAACAGTCTCCTAGACATGCCAAAGTCTGCCTGCTGGAAGACCAAGGCGAAAGTTCTGCTGGTGCTCCTCCTTACGTCACCCAGTGTTGAAAACTAACATTTCATGGTCACTATGCCCAAGATAACCACTGACCACCATATCACCCACTAGTCCTCTGTTCACAGTCAGTGTAGCAGAGCACCACCTCTAGAAGGCTCATTTACCAGTTGTGTAAGAAAGTTGTCTTCCACACACTTCAGAAACCTTCTAGACTGCTTTCTCTCTGTTGTGTTGTATTTCCAGCAGACACTTGGCAAGTTGAAGTTGCCCACAAGTATTAGGTCTGGAGACTGTGAGACTTCTGCCAGTGCTTGCAGAATGCCTCATCAGCTGTTCATCCTTGTTGGGTGGTTTAACTCCCACCACCCACCCTGCTGGTCTTTGCCCTGATCTTCATCCACTCAACCTTGTCATCTTCATCATCATCACTTTCAATACAATCAAAACACTCCCTAAGGTACAGTGGTACCCCAACCCCTTTTTCTGCTTTGCCTATCTCCCTTCTGAAGAGTTTATAGACACCTGTTGCAGCACTCCAGCCACGGGAGTCATTCCACTGAGTTTCCATGATGGCAAACACATCATAGCTTTCCTGCTGCACAATGGTTTCCAGCTTCTTCTGTTTGTTATCCATGTGCATCAGTGTAGGTGGTATGTATGACATATCTGGTATGTCACCCACAGGCTCGTCTCTAGAGATCCTGGCCTTATCCCCTTCTCCTTCTAACTCAGTTAAAAGACTGTATTACTATCTGCAATGT